TGAAGTTGAGAAGAGGCCGACTATATTTTAAGTCATTGAAACTGTCCTTTCACAAGTCGCTCACTATATATATGGGATGAACCCAGTATCTTCTCTTTTTCTTTCGCGCGCGAAACTTCAGCAACAAAGCACATACTACGGCTGTATCATTGAAATCCATTCGGAACGCTGTAACGAATGTATTTCCAACACGTCTCAAGACTAGATCCGCAACTAAAAAGTTGCCTGTGTGCGCACTCCAGCTCAACTGTCGCTAGACTTCAGAGTCTCCGAGAGAGTTGCGCAACAGTCCCCCGATTAGTCGGGCAACTGTTGCGCAACTCAAAATCGCCTGTGTGCGCCTGGCCTTAGTTGTGCTAGAATACTCTTTTCCATATAGGGAATAAGCTATTACCGTAGGTCTCATTGAAAGACCTAGACCCGGGACCTATTTCATTTTTCGTTTTGATGCCCCTAGAGAGCAAAAACACCATTCTTAAAAATATATGTAATTGGTAATTTAAGTAATTTGGTTATAATTCATTTCCATTCTAGCTCCTGAGCTGTTATATTAAATGTGATAAATAGGGTTACATACCTTATAATCCGACAAACAGCTCAAATAGTAGGTTGTTTACATGTTTCGGCTTGTATCAGCCATTGTCAAAACATTGCAGTTGGAAAAAAATACTTATCATTGTTTACTAATGTCCATAAACTTTTACACACACATACACGAACGAATAAAAAAAATAGGCCTATTACAATAAATGCACCTAGCTGGAGTCTACATACTGTTATAGTTTGCTTATTTTATTTATGGATATGTGTTGGTAAATGTATACTCGTATGAATTATACGATACAATTTACGTAAAAACACTATTTTTTCTTCCCCAAGTGGGAATAAATTTAGTCTGCAGGACTGCTGCGGCGGGAGTATTTTGTTATGTATTTAATGTGACAGCAAATAGTTTTAATGGTTTTACAGTGAAATTCTGTTTAGTTTTTGTTAAGAATATAAGTTGAATCGGCGTTAATTCATTACTCGCCTTCCGCACCAAATTCTTGGGTCGCTAGCGGCACGGTAGAAAATTGGTGGGTCGCTAGCGGCACGGGTCGCTTCTGGCACGGTCGCTTCTGGCACGACACCTTGCAATGTGCCGTTATAGCCTTACTTGGAAGAGGGGGATTTTTGGACCACGGATGAGTTTGTATTCGTTTAGTTTTTAAATAAATCCGACCTGAATATAAAATAGCAAATGCAAGTCCGCAGTTTGCGTTTTTGATCAGTAACGTAATTAAAATTTACAAAAAAAAAAGGGTCTAAATCTAGTGCAACAAACCTAAATATTGACTACTAGCTTTGATTAACGTCAATTAGTAATACTTAACTATGTTTTATTAACTACGTATGTTTGATAACTTACCTCCTGACTTTTATTTCAGTTACTAAGTACAATATCCTATATATAATACGAGTAAAGTTAGAATACTTGTTACTTCAATCTGGGAATCGGCTCTAACAAAAACTTTTATTTTTACGGAATAACTAAGTACTGGGTCAAAAATAAGTTCTAGACCAGTGGTATAGCCAGGAAAAATCTATTTTCGCCATATGAGTACAAACTTTTGAAAATTTAACATGGGCCTTATGAGAAAACATTCCGCCATTGTTGTCATTTGTTTACATTTTAAGACGTAACTCGGCGTTCTGTACTCACGAGCACCTCAGCTTGCGCATGCACAGAAAGCTCTTGAAGCACTTTCCGAGGTAACTGTTGTACTTCTGATGTGTATTAGCTTCTGAAATACAATTTTGTCAACTTGAGACAGAGAGAAAGAGGACGACTCGACCTTGCTCCAGTTCATTAAATCGTTTGATGTATAAGAATTTGTATTACATTATAAAACTTTCCAGAGTAATGAGTTTCTAATCCATTAAAAGACTATTCTTACATTATCCTCAGCTGTATTACTGTTTATTTAATACTTTTGCCAATATAAGCGAGCGATATATTTTATTTTTTTTATTTTTAACGCTTTTAATAATAATTATCATCACTAAATTACTCTTTTCGTCAGTTATCGAGTCGTGTCGTTGTCAATAATGTCGTCTGATTCTGACTGATGTCAGATGTTACACTGAATCGGTCACAGGGATAATAATTAGTTGTAACCTACCACTAGCTTACCTAACTAAGTTTGAGTGTTGCTATTTGCAGTGTGGGATGATTGCACTGGACAGTTTAGCTATCTATTTCAGAAAAATAAAGTTTAAAATAAATCAAACTCTAGGATCTGTTCTTAAGTTTTGGCCGCTACTTTTTAGTGCAAAAAAAAAAGTGGCATTTAAAAAAAATATTTTTATTTATAAATTATTATCCAGTTTTTAGTCTTTAATGTGTAAATATGTTAAATCTATTTTATATAGCCTCTTAATACATAACCAAAACCCAAAACTTTATTATCTGTAATCAGATGTTTTATCTTTACTTTGAAATTATTGTTTTATATTTTTAGAATATCTAGGGAGCAGAACCTGTACCTCTTAACCTCTGCTCTTCTAACTGTCAAATTTAAGTATTTACAGCTGACTTAAATTAATTTATAAGTTTACATTCTTTTAAAATGTAAACATGGAAAATTTGGAAGCCAAGGGGGCGTAGCCCAAGGGAAATATGAAAATTAAATTTGTAGATATTAGCCTAGACACCTATTTATTATCAGTATTTTTACCTTTTTGGTAGCCTAAGATGTCCAAAATTCTTATCTCCTGCGAGACGCGATTCACATTAATTACAATGCATCTTCAGTCGCTGTCACAGGTCTCAACATTGCCCACAGAAGTGGTTGTCACAATTTACAAAACATTTAACACAGTTCACGAAACACATATTTATATAATGGAGATAAGAATTTTGGACATCTTAGGCTACCAAAAAGGTAAAAATACTGAAAATTAAATGATATAATATTGCATTGTCATCCATTTGTGAGCTATGTTTCAAGTTTCAAGTCTCTAGCTCATCGGGAACTTCGTTTAAAATTGATATCAAAATTTGTAGGAAAGCGAGCTAATAAAAACAAGCCCATGGGGCGTAGTCCAAGGGATATATGAAAATTAAATGATATAATATTGCATTGTCATCCATTTATGAGCTATGTTTCAAATTTCAAGTCTCTAGCTCATCGGGAAGTATCCAAATTTGCAAGAAAGCGATTTAATAAAAACAAGCCCATGGGGCGTAGCCCAAGGGAAATATGAAAATTAAATGATATAACATTGCATTGTCTTCTATTTGTGAGCTATGTTTCAAGTTTCAAGTCTCTAGGTTGTCGGGAAGTTAGTATAAAATTGATTTCAAAATTTGTACCGGACAAGAAAGTGAGCTAATAAAAACGTTTTAATACTGGGTAATTTCTATAGTTTGGGCCATTTAGGGGAACTAAACAAATTTTTAAAAACTCTTCTATCGCATCATTTCAGTAAACTATGATACTATTATTTGAATAGAAGTTAAATAGGTGTCAAGAAAAAATATACCGCAAATTATTATTTTTGGGATAGAATTACATTGACCAAAGAATACTCTCAAAGTGTAGTGTAGTGATAAAGTTTCCTGAGCAAAGCTCGGTCCCCAGGTACTTATTGTCAAACAATGCAATAATGTACGTTATTTCATGAAATTTGTACCTGAGAAATTTACAAATGGAAAATGCATTTCTCATAAGTGTAAGAAAATCTTAAAATGATACGATTTGTAATGATACGATCTTAAAACAAGCAATTCAGTATTCTTATTCAAAACACCAAACACCCGCCACTGGATCAAAATATGCCCGCACGGCGCAACCCGGCACGGCGGGAAGCCCCTCTCGTACAATTTAAATTACGTACATAAGCCAAAAATTTAAAAAATATAATTTAGAACATGTTACTTTTTGGATACAGAATCCACTGTTTTTAAACTTACCTGACCAAAAAATAAAATAAAGTAGTAGCCGACAAAAAAAAGTTCCGTGAAAATTTGTCATGTCACGTTTCATAAAACATTTAAAATAATCGACTTTATTGGAATATGGAGAATAAAACCTATCACGGTTAATCTTAAAGTAGAACATACTATATTGCCATTTGAGGTTGACAGTGGAGCATGTGTGTCAGTAATTTCTAAAAAGTGTTACAACAATAATTTATCCGATCTCGACTTAATGCCCACTGATTTGGTTTTGAGCTCTTATACAAACCAGCCAATAAAAGCTGTAGGAAAACTTAACGTAAATGTACAGCATGAAGCTGAGCATAAAAAGTAGGGATGGACGGGTCCCGAAATTTTGGGAAAATAATATTCCCGATATTCGGGACGGGATTACATTTAATTCGGGAATTTTTCCGGACGGGATTTGATCCAATCGTCGGCAATTTTGCCGCTTCGCGAGTGACGATGGCGCCGCTATCGCGAGAGATGTTCACGATAGTTCCGCGAACTCAGGAGGCGAAGTCATTTCGACGCGGCAATCACGCCGTGACCACGAATCATACCGACGATCACGCCGTGACCACGGAGTCATGCCGACGATCGTGCCGTGACGGTGAGTCATTACTACAATCATGCCGTGACCGCGAGTCATAGCGACAATGACACTGTAACCGCAAGTCATACCGAAAATCATACCGTGACCACGGAGTCATACTGACGATCATGCTGTTACTGCGAGTCATTTCGACCATCGTGCCGTGACCGCGAGTCACAAGTTTCTATACCTGTTAATTTTTACCCATTTTTTTTGTTTTTATAGATCAGTGCCACAAACAGTAAAAATTTATTGTGTTTTTCTTTTTTGGTAACTGCAATACTCAAGACTATTAAAACAAACCCTTTTAATGCACAAGAAACTTCCCGTCCATCATTACTTACAGTTGGAACAAATCCCGTCCTAAGGAAATTCTAAACTAAAAGTAATCTCGTCCCGATAAACAGGTAGATATTTTTTCTAATGCGAAGGCATGTCACTTACCAGCAGGGGTGAGTGGAGACATACCCCCACTGATAGCTTGGTGGGGTGGTGAGGGTGACGGGGAGCCCAGGGGGGTGTTCCTCATCTGCTGCATGTCTAGACAGTGCCGCAGTTGCATCTCAGCTGGGTCGTACCTCTGTTAACATAGAAATTTTAATGACGGGGATTTACTAGCCACCATCCAAGATTCAAGATGATTTATTTCCAAGAATGCACAATTTTACAGTGACAATTATTGTGAAATGGAAAAAACATTCCTCTCAAGACTACACGTCTGTGTGTGAGGAAGAGTACATGGCACTCGTTGACGTCACTCTTAAAAAATATAGGCTTACATAAAACAAATAATCTCCATACAATCTATATATTAATTTGAAACTGTTTTTCTTTGTCATAGCTATTTTGAGAGAACGGCTGGGTGTAGAAACTCGGTAGAGGTGTCTAAAGAAAGGTCTTGGTCTGTAGATGAGCCATCAAAAGAGAAACATGGAAAATTCCCTTGGGGCTCTGCCCCAGTGGCCTTTAAATTCCCATCCCATGTTATTCTTATGGAGGAAAACGGGGTTTTTGTCATAGCTAATTTGAGAGAACGGCTGGGTGTAGAAACTTCGTAGGGGTCTCTAAAGAAAGGTCTTGGTCTGTAGATGAGCCATCAAAAGAGGAACGAGGTAAATAACCTTGGGGCTCTGCCCCAGAAGCCTTTAAAGTTGCCTCTTCAGATTTGTTTACATTACGACCATATGCATAATTCTACACTACTTTTTAATGAAACAGCTGTTAATATTTAAATTGAGATTTATTGAATTTGTCAAAATGAAGTACAGTATTTGCAATGGGTTTTTCTGATTTTTAATTGGATTTTCTTCTGCATCGTGTCATGTTTTGCAATATAATGTTCTATTACCAAATCAGTGGAAAATCCTAATATCACACAGTAACTCTTAAAATTATTTCTTTTGAGTTAACTTATATCTATTGTATGGGTTGGTTTCTGCCTTTTTTACCACTTCTTGGAGATTGTACGTAGGTGATATTTGTTGGCATATTGAATCTGTAGACGAAACGGGGTAGCGGATTTCTACCCCCGGATATTTACCCCCATGAAAAAACGCCTACGTCATTTTGACGTCACGAGGGGTGGGGCTTATACACGTTCGAGAAACAGCCCGCGACTGGAAATCTACCCCCGGACATCTACCCCCGGACATCTACCCCCAGACATCTACCCCCGGATATCTACCCCCGGACATTTACCCCCAGACATCTACCCCCGGACATCTACCCCCAGACATCTACCCCCGGACATCTACCCCCGGACATTTACCCCCAGACATCTACCCCCCGTGGTCAGCTCTGCCGCGTATCGGCCAATATTCATTGTTGTAATTTATTTTATAAATTTCTTTACCTTCTTATATCCAGTATTAAACATGCGATATGTCGATGTCTGTTTTAACATTATCCATATTTGTAATTCAATAAGTTGTAACAGTCCTTTTCAACCCGACCTACTTCACTGATTTTTACGATTGAGATGTCAATTAAAAGCTTAAGTCAGGTGAATAATGGTAAATTTTGCATATCACCTAGTAGTAAAAAAAAATTGTTTCTAAGATTTTAGATGCGTACTAAGAAAGGATTTTAAACTATTTTCTCTTAAAGACCTAAAATAAGACAATTATTAAAATTCAAAATAATGGCCACGTTCAATTTTTTAAGCATAGCCTAATATCTTTTAATATATATATATATATATATATATATATATATATATACGCCTAAATACCCCCATTGCAGCACATTCGCATACTCAGAGAATGTATAAAGTCTTATTGAAAAATCCTGCCTTAAAACAAAACTTGTCAACTTTATGTCAATAAATAAGTGTTCAAAAGATTCATTCATAAGAATACCATCTGGAAGTGAATAAGCAGGTTTCCTGTCAGTAAAATGTTAAAATGAGGCATTTTAAGGTAGTATACAGAACAGAATTAGGCGAAACCCGTCAACATTGACGGTTACTTTCAAGGCTTATGCTAATTCATATAACTGCGATAAATAGATTGAAGTAATAAAAATTTTGAGCATTTAGCTCTTTAGCTTTTTTGGTGATTAATAAGTGTAAAAGCAATAATGACTATTGCATAAGTTACAAAATATGGTTGATCATTCAATGAATAAAATATTTCCCATACCGTACGTCATAAGAGTTATTATTACAATGTTAACTGGTTTCTCTTCTTTTGGAAGAACCTTTAAATAGTATTAAAATCGTATTGGTCAATCTATTGTGATAAACACTTCCGATTCGCGCTCATGCGTGCGCCGTTAGCTGTTACTGTAGGCCTATGTGAAAGTTGGTCAACCATTTAAATCACTGTCTGGAAATGAATCAAATCCTTAAGGGTCTTACTTTTGAAGCCCTTTATCAACATATAGTTTTAAATACCATTTTGCGTTGAGCTGAGGATCATAAGATTTAAAATTACACCTCAATCATAAATATCAGTGAAGTAGTTTGGGTGGAAAAGGGCTGTTACAGCTTATTTTATTAGGAAGATAGATAATGTTAAACAAGGCAATGACATATCACATGCTTAATACTAGATATTAGAGGGTAATGATCAACCAAAGAGCCGTTGATTAACATAAAGCAATTTATAAACTCAATTACAACAATATATATTGGCCGATACGCGGCAGAGCTGACCACGGGGGGTAGATGTCTGGGGGTAAATGTCCGGGGGTAGATGTCCGGGGGTAGATGTCCGGGGGTAGATGTCTGGGGGTAGATGTCCGGGGGTAGATGTCTGGGGGTAGATGTCTGGGGGTAGATGTCCGAGGGTAGATGTCCGGGGGTAGATGTCTGGGGGTAGATGTCCGGGGGTAGATGTCCGGGGGTAGATTTCCAGTCGCGGGCTGTTTCTCGAACGTGTATAAGCCCCGCCCCTCGTGACGTCAAAATGACGTAGGCGTTTTTTCATGGGGGTAAATATCCGGGGGTAGAAATCCGGCGACCCGACGAAACTTGGGTTGGTGTAATTATTACAATAGAAAAGAGCGAGAAATCCTGGACAATTTGATATAGGCTAAAAATAAAACTGAATTAACACTGTTTTACATTTCTTGAGCAATCATTGAAATAATCGATTTGCAAACAATGGAAACATAGAAAAAGTCATAGAACACAACCAAGTAGAAGAAATAGAAATAATTTTTTTTTCCATTCATAATCGTTGTTATAGACAACCTAATGCGGCTATGAGAGGGAAAAATGTGTAGAAAACACTAAAAAAAACAAGATAAGCTTTTTGAAAAAAGATAAGATATTTACAAAAGATTTTGATTATATCTAACTTTTGTGTAGATCGTGAGTATTTCCATAATCTTTGAGTCGCCTGTAATGCTTCGCAATTGCTCGAATTCGAGCAACAGGTACACTAGTTTATATATTAATTTGAAACTGTTTTTCTTTGTGACAGCTAATTTCAGAGAACGGCTGGGCGTAGAAACTCGGTAGAGGTGTCTAAAGAAAGGTCTTGGTCTGTAGATGAGCCATCAAAAGAGAAACGTGGGAAATTCCCTTGGGGCTCTGCCCCAGTGGCCTTTAAATTCCCATCCCATGTTATTCTTATGGGAGAAAAACGGGGATTTGTCACAGCTAATTTCAGAGAACTGCTGGGCGTAGAAACTTGGTAGGGGTCTCTAAAGAAAGGTTTTGGTCTGTAGATGAGCCATCAAAAGAGAAACGAGGTAAATTCCCTTGGGGCTCTGCCCCAGAGGCCTTTAAAGTCCCCTCAGCAGATTTGTTTACATTATGACCATATGTATAATTTTACACTACTTTTTTAATGAAACAGCTGTTACTGTAATATTTAAATTGTGTTTTTCTGAATTTGTCAAAATGAAGTATTTGCTATGGTTTTTTTCTGATTTTAGAATCAATTTTCTTCTGTATCGTGTCATGTTTTGCAATATAATTTTCTATCGCAAAATCAGTGGGAAATCCTAATATCACAGTAACTCTTAAAATGATTTCTTATGGAGTTAACTTATGTCTATTGTAACTTATTGGTTGGTTTCTGCATTTTTTACCACTTCTTGGAGGTTGTACGTAGGCGTGTTGCATGTAGATGATGTTCTTTGGCGTATTGCATCTGTAGACGATACTTGGGTTGGTGTAATTATTACAATGGAAAAAAGCGAGAAATCCTGGAAAATTTAATTGATATAGGCCTACTAAAAATAAAACTGAATTAACACTGCTACATTTCTTGAGCAATCATTGAAAGAGCCGATTTGCAAACAATGGAAACATAAGAATGTCATAGAACACAATCAAATAGAAGAAATAGAAATAATGTTTTTTCCTTAATTTATAATCGTTAATATATAGTATCTAATGCGACTATGAGTGGGAAACATTTGTAGAAAACTCTAAAAAACAAGATCAGCTTTTGAAAAAAAGATAAGATAGTATTTACAAACAATTTTGATTATATCTAACTGTTGTGTACATCGTTAACATCGTGAGTATTTCCATAATCTTTGATTGAGTTGACTTTTATAAGTATTTAAGGTAAAAAATATCAAAATTTGTTTTTTTATCGATTGTTATACCTCATTTAACATTGAACAGTACAGTATCGGTTAAAATATTGAATTGAAGATGTAAAAGGTCGAGATAAATCATGTACACTACCCATTAACCCTGTATAGGCCAATCACCGGAGAGTGGGTAGGCAAGATTTGATTTAGAATTATTATTTTTCAACGCTACACTAGCAGCTAAGATGGTGTTTGCTGTGATAGCCTGTCATTTGGTGATTTCCCTCAGATGGTAGGATCCTGGACAAATTACTCCAATTCATCGTAATAACAAATTATAACTTACATGAAAATGAGTCATGGGAACTAAAACTAAGTGAGTTGGTTATTCAAAAAATACATAAGGTTAAATTGCATTCTAAATTATTAAGAGAAAGAGTAAAAATCAAAAGAGTCAAGAACAATACTCCCCGATAGAAAAGAAAGCTGATTGGATTAGAAATGCTTTTGCCAAATTTAAAAATCTGTTTGTATTATTTATTTATTTTTTGATATTTTGTGGCAAAAGATCAAAATATTGTTTCCTTT